AGCCCCTTCCGTGCCAGGGCTGTCAAGGCCTCCGACGTGCCGCCCTCGCCTGACGACGTCAAGCGCCGCGTCAAGTCTCCCAGCAGCGGGCACATCCGGCAGAAGGCCGTGCGCCGTCCCTCCAGCATGTACAGCAGCGGCAAGAAGAAGGAGAACCCTATTGAGGACGAGCTCATTTTCCGCGTGGGTGAGTTTGGCCGCAGGGCAGCCTGGGGGGCGCTGGGGCCATCTCGGTACCAGCCCCCCTGCCAGCCCAGGGCACCTTTGCTCCCACATCAGGCTGTGGCCGGGAGCTCGGTTTGCTGCGCTGTGGGGCAGCCTGTGGCAGGGACTACACCCACGTGGCTGGGCTGGGGCAGGGGAAGCCTTGTATCCTGCAGCCTGGCCATGTCCCCCAGTGCAACATCCACCCTGGGCCTGTAACGCCTGCCTTGGCAGTCCCATCTCTGCCACCGGCCCTGGGGGTCACAGCTTCTGGTGCGTCCGCAGCCCGGCCGCCACCCCTGTGTGCCTGGGGCAGGAGTATCTCTTTGGGGCTGTCCAGAGCTGCCTGGCAGGTGTGCTCCAGAGGCAGAGTGCTGGTGTCCGTCCGGCAGCCACAGCCTTGTGCATGGCAGCATTGGCCCCTGCAGATGGCATGGGGAGAGGACGCGGGGGTGCCAGGGGACTCGGCATGCAGGGGTAGGAGGCTGGGAAGAGCCCTGGGCGGGGGACACGTGTAGCTGGGAGAGCGCGGGGTGCCTGGATGCAGCAGACCAGGGGTGCGTGGGGTGCACAGGCCACGGGGGAGGCTGCCGGGCCTGGGGCCTCATGCCGGCTGTGCGCGCCGCAGGGAGCCGCGGTCGGGAGAAGGGCGAGTTCACCAACCTGCAGGGCATCTCCACCTCCAGCAGCGGGCGCATTGTGGTGGCCGACAGCAACAACCAGTGTGTCCAGGTAGGAGCTTCAGCCCCCTCCCTCCCTCCCTCCTGCCCCATCCCGCCTCCGCTGACAGCCCGGTCCTGCCCCGCCCCAGGTGTTCTCTAATGAGGGGCAGTTCCGGCTGCGGTTCGGGGTGCGGGGTCGCTCCCCGGGGCAGCTTCAGCGCCCGACTGGCGTCACCGTGGACACCAATGGCGACATCATCATCGCCGACTACGACAACCGCTGGATCAGCGTCTTCTCCCCCGAGGGCAAGTTCAAGGTGAGGCTCTAGCCCAGGGCAGGGCTGGCGCCCCCACATGCCACATTGGGGCTGGACCCCCTGGTGCGCCCGACCCCCACCAGGGTTGGGGGGTGCAGGGGCCGTGTCTCGGGCTGGGCCTGACGTAGGTGTGGTTTTGCAGACCAAAATCGGGGCAGGGCGGCTGATGGGCCCCAAGGGCGTGGCTGTGGACCGCAACGGGCACATCATCGTGGTGGACAACAAGGCCTGCTGCGTCTTCACCTTCCAGCCCAACGGCAAGCTGGTCACCAAGTTCGGCAGCCGCGGTACGGCCGAGCGCCAGTTCGCAGGTACCTGCCGTGGGTCCGGTCCTCCCACACTGCCCCCCCCCCGCCAGTGTGGGGCCACGCG